GAGAGAGAGACATAAAACCAAAGATGTCCTCATTTGCTAAACTACTGTTTCTCTTTTAAGGAGATGAAGGAGAAGAGAATGGGAACGGGAAAAGGGAAGGGAGAGAGAGAGGGAAAAGAAAAAGACCTTTCAGTGAAATAGAAAAAAAAACCATAACCGTAATTTGAACCATAAATGCAATAATACAATGCATTTTCATGCATGGTGAAATCAAGTGCACCTTTCCTAAATGTTTGCATTGCATTAAATGAGTACCAATAACTATCTGATATGATAAAAGGAAAGGAAAATGATAAATGAAGAAAATGAGACTGAAGAAATTCTTAAATACGACAACTAAAAGCAGAAATAATAGGAAATGATATTTTGATCAGATGAAGATGAAAGATAATGAAGATTAAATTATTGGAAAGGGACTAATCTGTTGCAAAAAAGGGATGAGTGTGCATTATTCGGAACAGAAAGAAAAAAATGGTAGCGGGTACTATCTGTTAATAGAAAGAATGGGAAAAGGCGGAAAAAAGAGGTAAAGGGTCATGGAGTACTGTTTGAAATAAAATGAAAGAGAAAAGAATGATAAACCTCGAATAAAATAAAGATAAACCGATGAGACTGAAGGGCGGATTAGAATGAAAGATCATGATGCATCCTAAAACAGCTTACATTTTGCAATCTTCTTTTCGAATCGAGTTTTCACTCCTCCAAAACTCAGCATTCGAAGCTCTGCAAATATAATTCATTTAAAACCAATGGGAGATCATCATAAGACATTTTAGAGTTTCATTTTCTTTCGCTTAACTATTATCACTTTATTCGATCATAAAATAATGATATAGTAAGACTTAATCCCGACCTAATCTCAAGTGTTGCTAAACATATGGATGACAGTGGTAGCTCCAATTTTACAACTACAAAAAGTACTTTACTCTGCTTGGATATCAGCCGGTAGAATCACTGGAGGTTGCTACAAAAACTTCAGATATACAGAAAAATTAAACATTCAAATGAAAACTTACTCCAATTGCCTTTCTTCTTAATCTGAAGATGCGTTCCATGTCCAGCAGAATGCTCAGCATGTTGCCCATTTTTCTACAACATGACAAAATCATACTGCGGATCATGAAAATACAAAATTGTTGAAAGTTACTAAAATTACCTTCACCATGTTTACAGTTTTTTCCATGATCGAACATGCAGTTGTTACGTTTAGGCTTTCATCGCTTTTAAAATCTTTCGCATGTGCAATTGAAACCACTGTTTGTGTAGCAGCGCCTTTTCGCATCGGAGTGCTACAAAATTCCTGCTTCAGGTTGTCGCAAAATGCCTCAACGTCACTGATCTGCTTTTCAAGTTTCTAAAGCATATTCATTTGAAACAATTTAGAATTTAATTCACTTTGCATTGCAAATCAGGAAATGTAGATCGAAATTAAAGCAAAGTAATCAAACAGTACCATATGTTGACCGCTCAGATAATCAACGTAAGCGCAAGTTGTTTTCAGCTTCAACTGCTCAGATTTCATGTTCTCTGATTCGTCTTTGTGTTCCTCGTTCAGCACTTTGATGTCATGACGGAATTCGTCGAATGTTTCGAAAAGCGTTTCAAGCTTGACATTGATATCTTCGATTTCCTTTTTGATCTTTTCAAGGTCCGAGTTCTTGCCATTAATGCTAGCAATCATTCCCATCAAATGATCCATACGCTTCGCTAAGTTGTTATCAGCTTTCTGAAAAACACTAGGAAGCAATTTTTCGAGAAATCAATTTCAAATTTCAATTTTGGCCTAGTATCCAATGAATTAGTAAAATACTCTTCAAGAATAAGATATACTGGAAATATTTCTTAATTCGAAACTTGGATTTTCAGAATTTTAATGTTAAATGTTATAATCGTTACCTGTTCAGCAATGTCCAGATGATTGATAATTTTCAAAATCATTTCATAAAGTCCCTTCGATTGATTTTCCTGAAACTTTTTCAACACGAAGTGCATTTCCTCACCCATTTCATTCTTGAAATCCTGAAATTATCAAATATTGTAATAAAATAAAAATCTAACTTCATATTACTTATATAAGAAAACATAATAATAACAAAATATGATATAAAAAGTACTCTACCATTAAAGCTTTGTCGAGATTCCCTGGATATTCCTGCGTAACGTTGTCTTCCGGTGGAGTCGTCTGCTGAATTTTTTTAGCATAAAAATAGAACTTTTTCTTTTTTGCTTTTACTCGAGAAATCTTCATGATTTGATTTAATCTCATCCATATTTCATCAGAGTTTCATAGTTAATCTGTTTCATATTTCAACAAGAAAAGCATACCATTTCCATTTCCACGTTCCTTTCTTCCAGGAAAACTATAAGCCGTTCAGCCAAAGGGCGAAGATGAGGATCGTCAGCCAGGATAGCTTTTGCTGCCGCTTCGAATCCATCCAGAGCATAACGAACGTTCTCTTCACCCATCCATGTGAGATCTGAGTCAACTGCTTCCATTCTGAACTTCTCAGTGATTATCTTGAGTCGTTTCTTTAGCTGTCGATAGAATTCTTTTGGATCCATTGGTCCAGATTTCGCATTGTTGAGGTCAGTAAGAGCTCTGTCAAGTTGTTCACGAAGTCCCGTATTATCAATATACGTCTTCTCAACCAGTGCTTCAAGTTGAGAAACTTTAGCCTGGCTTGCACAATACATCTGTTCCGCTGCCATTAAATTCTCATCTGCAGAACGCATTAATTCCACTTTCTGTTTTTCGAGCTCTTCCACCGATTTCAGTTGCAGATTCTAAATGAATATACAGTACTTTCTTAAGTTTCTACGATATGAAAAAAGTGGAAAAAACAAAATCCTAAAAACAGTAATGAATTAAATCTAAACTTAACCTTCTTCACATTATTTATTCAAACCTTCCTAAAGGTCGAAAATAATATGAATTCTTTTCTTTCCGCCTGAGAACCTTCCATTTTTACCTTATTACTTTTCGCTCCTTAGTTACACCTATCATAATTTTCTAAGTCTGCCTATAAATTACATAAACTTATTTGAATGTATACTTCAATAGTCCCCAACAGATCTGCATTTTCTCTCTCTTTCTGTGCCAATAACACTTGCAACGATTCGATCTTCTTCTCAGCTTGAGCAAGCTAAAATTTTGAATATCTTCACAAACACAAATTTTACTTTCTTACTAACGAATTAAAAAATTTCAATTATAATTCATGCACTGTTAGTTTTTGAGTAAAGTAATGTCAACCGTCTGGCGCATCGCTTCAAATGCTGTGAGTTGAACAGCCGTATCCTTCTGAACAGCTTCAAGCTTTTTCTCGAATTCGCCCTACAACAAAAATCCAACCCTCGCATTTCAGATCAAACTATGCTTTTGAAATCAACATGGTAAATTTCGTTTTGTACTTCCACACGTGGAATTGTCCTCAATCTTATGCGATGCATTCCATTAAACGAATGCCTCCTTCGTAAGATGTCGTCGGTTATTACACTCGATAGAACTCATCCTTTGGCTTCTTTTTTTTCCTCTCTCTCTCTTTTACAGTGCTGTTTAATTAGAAACGGTATTTGCATTTGTTTAATTAGAAACGGTATTTGCATTGAAGAAAAGCTTGAGCTTTTCCATATCCATCACTCCATTACCTAATGCCTAACCCTACATGAATATATGAATTGATCTTTAGCATAATATTTTAGAAACTAAATTTTTGACAAAACTTATTGAAATTGCTAAAAGCCTATGGCTGTCGTTATTCTTTAGCTTTTCTTTTCTTTTTTTTTTGTCTTCCTAATCAAATGCTATTTTATGACTTACGCAAATTAATTGCCATTCATACTCACTACCACTGCTGTCCATCTGTGTAGCATTCGAATCTCGTTCGAAATCAGTATTACCATCCTGAAAACAGTGAGTACAATAGCACACATCATTTGGCTTGTAAGTACAGTAGCTCGAAAGGAAAAAAAAATCCATCCAACATATCTGCAAACCCCTAATATTAATTACCTTAATATTAATTACCTCATCATCCCTTGCCGTTATCACCTCTTCGTCACCATCTACTTCACTTGCCTGAAAAATTTGCTGATTTGCTTCAGCATACATCATCCTAAATTTTTTATAACATTTCATCAATAACTCGTTTTTTTTTCGAATATGCTGTCTTAATTCGTAAGGAGAATTATCTTATGACTTATTACGAGTTATTTTTACAAGACAAACATACTTTTACTGAGCTAAAAATTTGCAAATATTTTTGAAACAATCCCAAAAAAAAAGCTATTTAAATAATAGTGATAAGTTATCACACTTACAGTTGATAAGCGAGATGTTTGTCCAGATGTTATAGTGTCGTCAGTATGTTCCGGTTCCTAAAACTTTACTCGACCAAAGAGGA